CTATAGTACTGTATTTTTCTAGACACTTACCACTTTCCATTATTTGAACTGCTAGCTTATAAGCAATTTCAAGTTATTAGATAAAATTATAAAAAAATTGCTATCTATCTGTTATTTCTGTCTATCCTCACGCTAGACCCCTTACCGGGATAGTAGTTTAACATAAAAATGTACCAGACCTTCCCTGAATAGTTTCGATGAATTGTATTTTCAACTAACTTTGATAAATCGTTTTTTAATAGACAGGATTAATTCTCAAACTGGTGCCACTCAACTAATATAGTATTATGTTATGTTATCTGTGCCCATACTAATTTGGTCAAAACCAAAGACCGTTTTTTTTTCGGATTAAGATCTTAAATTATTAACAGAACACCTCGATCGAATGACTATTCAACAGCTAAACATACCTTACGAATTTTATTATATACTTACCTTCGAAACTCGTTTAAATTATTCAGACGAAGTGGTCAAAACCCTTTCAATTTTTTACATTTATATCTTGGCTCCAAAAGTTTATACTTACCAAGATCCTTTTTTTACTTTTTTAGAAGGCGCATATCTTTACGATAACATAAACTGTGATATAAAATATATTGTGAGCTAGAGTGAGGATCTCAAGAGTATTGTATGGTGTTGCTGGGTACAAATGACGCAAGATCATACTTTCTGGCTTAATATGAATGAGAGACTGGATATATTGCAAAAATGATGATTATGATGAGTTTCTCTCGATTAAAAAGACACAGTATCCAAGGACTGGTAGAAAGATTTACAGGCAGAGACTGAGAGCTGAGGAGATCATTTATTGACAAAATTTAAACCTGACATCCGGATATATTGTTCTATAAAACAGATTGCCAATTAGCAGACTAGAAAAAGAAAAAAAAAAAAAAAAAATGATGATATATTGTTGAACTTGTATGTATGTATATATTTACTCACAAGAATTTTTAATAATTTTCACAACACTACAAAAATATAATGATATTGATACCATTATTAAAAAATAAAAAGATTTATACGATATAGATCTAAGAAATATTTATGGCTATCATTCGAAACGTTGAATAGATAATCATTCTCATCTCTGCCATTATCTGTCCACTGCTGGACTCAGGCCTCCCTCATAAACTGCCACGGGGAACGGTCCTCAGCCATCTGCATCCACTGACTTCCTGCAATGCATTTGTTTGTTTACCACCTCAGTGTTATTAAAAAATTGAGGTCGTCACTGCATCTAGTGGGTGGTCGACCTACACTGCGTTTACTCATACAGAGTCGCTACTAAAGAACCTTTCTTCCCCTTACGTCTTCAGCTTGCTTATCCTTCGGACTATATCAATGACTTTTGTTCTTTTCCGAATATTCTCATTTCGGATTCTGTCAGAAACTTCAATCATACCTCTCTCCATATCTCGCTGAGTAATTTAAAGCTTTTGTATACAGGCAATCGTGCATATATAGTGTGTGAATATATATTGTTATTATTCTTTATTGCACTTGTAAATTACATGTAATATAATGCATTTACAAATGTTGTGAACAAGGGTGGACTTATCTCTGACAGAGATCTCTTCCACTCAACCCAATACAGTTGGAAAGCATGTAGTTAGCGGGCAGCTGAAATGCTACAACTTAATAATAATATATATAATGTAATATGATAATTTGTTATTATAGCATTTCCTAATTTCACGCAGCCTACAGTGCAGTTGTAATTACGTATTGCTGAGCAAAATTGCGAATTAAATGAATTCTCGCTATGTTATCTTTCACACAGTGCACCCATTTCTTTTTAGGGCTTTCGCTATCTTTATAGCTACCCACATTCAATTTATACATAATTCTTTTTTTACTACATTATTTTCGTCCCTGTGCATCACATCCGTACTACTAGTATCAATGAAAAAATAATTTCAAGATAAATTGAATTGGTCCGAGAGTTTATGGCTCTTATCCAAATTACAAGAAGACATGTTTGGCACACTGAATTGTTGTTTTAAGCCAAAATACATCCGCCATACACAAAGATGAAATAGAGGATGCTAACCATCTGTAGAAGGGGGAAAGGAATTGTTAGTAATGGGGTCCAACTGACCCATTGCTAGCAATACACCCTATCAGGTCGACTTCCACGCGGTTACCCCTGGAAACCATCGTGGTTAATTCTAGCAGAAATCAGCACGATGGGCTAACTGTTTTGCTTTCATCGTCATCTATTATCTCTCACTGGTGCTCTACCAGCGTATCCTGATAGCGCAGGTGGGGTTTACCATTTCATTATCACCCATTAAAAAAACCATCTATTGAAAAAAAATTAACATAAATAAATTATACAATTTACCTGATGTTACAAAAATTCATTTGTCCATATCGAACTTCCACCAATTTTTATGTAAATACTTTTGAAAATTTTATGAAAAGAGAATTATAATTTAGCCCATAGTGTAATTAAGCTCTTTAAAACTTACTTAATAAAAAAAAATTATGCAAAGTACTTTTTTGGATATACCGTAAAATGATTCTGGAGCGTTACGATAAAATGTAATAATTCGGCATATTATTATTTTTATTCTGTCATTAATACCGAATTATGAATTGTATATCTAATGAAGCTACTGCTCTAGACAAGTGAATCTGTGGATAAATTCATTATCGCTTTCACATGCGAGTAAAACGAGAAAGCAACGTTAGGCATTTTGCTGTTCCATGTAATAACAATTATTAACAGATTCGTTTTATCTAGGGAGCTGGAGGTCTACCATAAAATAAAATTTCGAATTTTTAGACTCAATTTCGTGTTTTTGTTTATATCAAAATCGGCCCAGTAAATAGAGCATAACATTTCATTCGTCATAAATCCTACCATAAAAATCCAAAGGAACGATATTTTAACATTATTAATATTTTTAAACGGTGTATGTTATGCAATCATAACATCACATTTGTGTTTTGTTTGGACCCGAAATTTCAGAAAATATTTCATGGTAAGCTTTCAGCACAAGAATTGGTTTCCCTTGTGACAACTGACCCATAATTGTACCAAACTTTTATAAAATAACTACATATTTTCTCTCGTACATGACATGGCATTTATAACTTTAAGGATCGAGGGATTTGGTTATTTAATAAAGGTGACTACAATAATATATTTTATTATCATAACTTGCAACTGTAACATGCTTGACACACGGTCCCGTGCCGCAGTCTGCAAAAGTTTCGAGGTTCTCATATTACAACGCACTACAATTTACCAACCGCATATCACCGCGTATACTACTGGCAAAACACCCCATGCTCTTATGTTCAGTACTGAACAGTTTAAAGCTGATATGATGAATCACCGCGTATTATCATCACTTTGGTGATATATACGAGATCGTAATATCAACATGTCTATAGGCATCGGTTACTACTTTTTATCAGATAGGCTATTAGATTTTTTAACATTCTAAGCATTTTAAAAACAAATTATTTAATCCGGCACTTTTATCGACGATTTGGTTTTTTAATAAATGAAAATTGAATGGTAATCCCACCTGCGATACCGAAATACAGTGGCGGGCACCAGTGAGAGATGATAGGTGAATATGAGTACAATTCAGTTAGCCTATCGTAACGAATTCGACAAGAATTAACCACGATGGGTTCCAGGACCTGATAGAGTATATTACTAGTTATGGGACTATTAGACTCTATTACTAACAATCCCTTTTCCCCTGAAATTTGTAATTGTCACCTATAAACATGGATAGCACCATGAGCATCATGGTATAAACTATGTTGCCAAACACAGTCACGTTAGTGCAGATGCATCACAACAATTACACTAGTGGGACAGTGTACCCAATCTGAAGACTTTTGTACAAAGTCTCCCTCTAGTAATATTCAAATAGCTTCTTTTTTTAATATTTTATTGATTGTTATAAATCAAACTCTATTCTTCGGTTAAGAATTGTGATCTACTTATCCTTAAGCACTAGTCGAATACATTTTTCATGTCAGTGCCGAAATCAAATAGGACAGCTATCAGATTGATGAGCCGTCGCGGCCAACACAAACCATTATGGATCCGCAATAATTGGATTTTGCTCCATTATCCGCGGTTCTGATGCGGATACCGCGTTGTTGGATTTGTTCAATACTTTCTATTAATAAACATGATTATTCCAGCGTGCATACTATTTAATCAATTGAACAAATTGGGCGCGAATATTTCGAACAGACAATAGATTTTTTTTAAGTATAATAAAATTGGCCAAGGGAGAAATTGTAATGATTACACTTGTATAATAATAAATGCAACCTAATCACACTAATTTCCCAGTCCGCAAATTAGAGTACCCTGTGTTATGAGAAACAAGGCAATGGAACTCAGAACGTCCACATTCGAAATAATTACAAAATGGAACAGAAGAACTTTGTCGACTTTTAAACTTAATTAAATGTAATTAATATGAACATTTCAGAACTTAGTTTAAAATAAAAACCAAATATATATTAGCCGTGTGGCATAGAATAGGCCACCCCTTCCTTTTTTCGAGGGTGTCGTAAAAGGCGACTAAGGGAGAACGTGAGTTGGGCAGCAGCATCTCTCTTAAAACATCACGAAAGCCTAACTGCGGTTGCCAATCCATCAGCCAAGCGTGGCAACTACTGGCAAAACCCCCCAAAGCCGAAGCTTATGTTCAGCAGTAGACAGGATAAGGCTGATATGATGATGGTGATGATAAATAAATACGTAAACCCTTTTGGAGTAGTAAATAGTAGAGTATAAAATAAATATAGTATAATTTAATACATATTAAGACTTTGAATCAATGTTGGCCATAACGCGAAAGGTTTTGAAAAGTTCGTTTCCTAAATTAATCCGAAGGGAATCGAACCCAAAACCTCGTTTACGTAAAGCAATGTACTAACCACTATGCCATAGAGGTCGTCATCATCTCTTGAAATGAAGTCAAATTGTTGATAAAGGCTAATTAATTCTGTTTCAGAATGGTGAATGAAAATAATGAGCGGCAGCCGACAGCATGGAGGCGAATATCACAAAAGCACCGCGTTGTGGCGCAGAAACGTCACTCTATACCTCCATCTAATCAAGTAAACCGTATGCTCAGAGACTAAATTTGAATAATGAATGGGGACACAGAAGATTTCAAAGCGCGCGAAATTAGAATGGATCTACCGAAAACAATGTGCGCCGACGACTGCCATAACGTCACCAAAATAACAGCGTTCCAGCTTCGACCACCTGATCCTAATGCCACTTTCCTAAATCGGCCATTTATAAATGAAAAAGTCAACGAAAGTGAGTCGATAAACCTCAGGATGTCGTGGAACTTTAACGATTCAATCAGTGAGATGTACGGATTCGATATGACTCTAAACGGAACGTTCTGGAACTGTACTTCAGAAAATGGAACTTGTGCTAGTGATGTGCATAATTATAACTTTTGGGCACTTTCGTTGTTAGTGTTCCCCTTATTAACGTTATTCGGAAATGTTTTAGTTATAATGAGTGTGGCTAGGGAGAGAAGTTTGCAGACTGCAACGAATTATTTTATAGTGAGTCTAGCTGTGGCCGATTTGTTAGTAGCTGTGGTAGTTATGCCATTTGGAGTATACTATTTGGTAAGTGTATTTAAATTATGACATATTATTATATATATAATTTATTATTATATATATATAATTTATTTATATATATATATATAAATAAGTGTATTATATAATGTTACGAATAGGTATTTATTTAGCGCTTTTTTATTTTTTGTTAGTGAGAACATTTTACACTTTTATAATTTTTTTTTTTACAAAACTTATAAAAGAGTGCAAAAATGTCCTCAAACGCAAAAGTTTTTTTTTTTTCTTTTATTTCTTTGTACATCTACTATGGATATATTCCTGTAGAACGAGCACAATAATATTATTAATTTACACGGTTATCATTTAGAATCTATTGTTGCAGTTTTCTATTTTCTGATTTTCGATCGTTTATCTACTCGTCCGGATATTTATTACAATCCTTCCGTTCCCTACATAAACTGTTCTTTTCTCATTCAATCACATTCTCTTTCACCTGCATATTTAAGAATCCAAATCAGTATTTTGTTCAGTTTCGATAAACATCCAATACAGTGCAACAATCAGTCGGCTTAGACCATTCATTCAACATTATATATTCTTTATTGCACTTGTAAATTACAATGTTAATGCATTGATAAATATTGTGAGCAAGGGTGGACTTATCTCTGACAGAGATCTCTTCCAGTCAACCCAATGCAGTTAGAAAACATGTTGCTAGCGGGCAGCTTTATTAATATTTAGTGTACATAAACAAATATACAGTTAAATAAAATATTAAGATACATAATAAAATATTACATAAATACATATACTATAAATAAATATAATATCTACCTACTTATACAGTGGATGTTAAAATAAATGAATATACTACCTAGAATAGAAATTTAGTTCAATGATTTTAAAGTTTGACAGTTCAATTATAAAAAATAAATAAATTAAGATTATGACTCAAAGGAAAGAAAATCTAACTTCAACCTTTTCTTGAAAGAGGTAATTGAAGGGCTCTCTTGTATGTGGGAAGGAGTTTGTTCCATAATTGGGCAGCTCGATACGAGAAAGAGTTGCCCATAAAATGTGTTCTA